TCAGAGAGTTACAAAAAACATTAGAATCCCCAAAATCCTTTACATAGTTTCTCTCGGTTTCTATCTCTACTCTCTTCCCCAAGAACACAAAAACAAGTTTATTGTGCTGTGTTCTCTCTCCTCTAGTTTCTCACTCGCCCACTGCCAACAATGTACATGTCTCAATATATATACTCACATCTTTACCTAAAACTCTTGGATGCTCTCCACCAACCTTCTTGAATGCAATAAATGAACTCACCAATATTTTTTTGTCCATTCGAATAAGCATGCTCTTTGCTTTTGTCTTATATGGCCAAAAGCAAAATATCTTGACTTGTGGTCCTGCATTCTTGTGGTCCTTCCTTGAGACATGCAAACTTCTTCTCCACGTTATACTTGTTTTGTCTTAATCTTGATTTGCTAAACTTAACTTTGAATTAGCCGAGGACCGAGGAAGTTTCCATGCATTTGAATAATTCAAACCTTTTTATTTTCAAGAAATAAAATTCACCTAACGCAAACGATGCCTAACGACGCTAACTCAAATCTGACCTCAGCTTTCTCCAAAGCAAAGTCGCAAAAAACCAATTTCTCTTATTTTCAAAATCTATTATAAATCATCAACGTACTTCAACAATTTCTAGTCGTTTTAGCTTACCTATATATGCACTCTCACTAATCTAAATCCCAACATTACCATGATGATGAGGTTTTGCGTGTTCGGGGTTTTCTTGCTATTCTTCGTTCCTTCTCCAATCTCCGCCGGTTTCTATCCGAACTTCTCCGCCATTCCGCCGGAGCTCCGCCATAACGCCACGGAAAACGTTTGGAACTCATTCTTGAATCTCACCAGTTGTCATGCCGGCATGAAAGTCAATGGTCTCTACAAGATCAAACAATACTTTCAACATTTTGGCTACATCCTAGAGACTCTCCCCTGAAACTTTACCGACGACTTCGACGATATCCTCAAGAACGCCGTTGAGATGTACCAGAGAAACTTCCGGCTTAACGTCACCGGAGAACTCGACGAGATCACTCTCCAACACGTCGTGATCCCACGTTGCGGCGTCCCCGACGTAGTCAACGGCACCTCAACTATGCATGGCGGTACCGGTGGAGGAAGAAGGACATATGAGGTCTCCTTCGCCGGACGGGGCCCACGTTTCCACGCCGTAAAACACTACTCTTTTTTCCCGGGTGAGCCGCGTTGGCCGGACCACAACCGTGATCTAACCTACGCGACGCGCGTTCGCTCGTTGGGCAGAGGTGATTCCACTAACGTTCACGCGCGTGGAGTCGTTCTTGACCTCCGACATCAGCATAGGATTCTACTCCGGCGATCACGGTGATGGAGAACTGTTCGACGGCGTAATGGGAACGCTGGCTCACGCGTTTTCGCCGCCAAACGGTCATTTCCACCTGGACGGAGACGAGAACTGGATCGTCTCCATCGGCGGCGACGGTTTTCCCTCGGTGACGGCGGCTGTTGATCTAGAATCAGTAGCTGTTCATGAGATCGGTCATGTTCTAGGGTTAGGCCATTCCTGTTACCGGACTAGTAACCGAAGGATAAATCCTCTCTAGTGATTCACTATATGAGCCCTAAGAGAGGTGATAACAAGCTGGTATGAAGATAAGAAACCCACCTCGAAGGAGTCCTATCGATGGAATGATGATATGCTCAGAAGATAAGATAATTGTTTGATTGATTCTCCCAAATAGATCGAGTGTTTACAGATAAGGAAATCTAATGAAATTATTAAACCAGGCAATTGAACCAAACTAGTTGATAAACCAAACCAGAGAGATTGAACCGGTTTATGTAGATAATCTTGTAACAATTCCTCTGTTCAAGACTCGATCATGTATCCAACCATCACGACCGGGAGACGTAAGGTTGATTTGACGAGCGATGACATGGAAGGAGTCCAGTATTTGTACGGTGCGAATCCTAACTTCAACGGCTCTAGATCTCCACCACCGTCCACTCAACAGCGAGACACTGGCGATTTTAGTAATGCTGCATGTAGAATCGACGGCTCTAGATCGGTTTTGACTAGTCTATTGATGTCGACCGTTGGATTGTTTCTGTTTTATTTACTCTAGATAATTAGTCTCTTATATTTATTGAATTAGTTAAAATTAATTTACAGATTTTGACACATTTTTTACAGTATATATTTGGTTTGGTTTTTGATGAGTATCTAGTTTTATCTTAGATTAGACAAAAACTAATCGCAAGTGTACGGCGATCGAAGTATTACTTAAGGGTCGAATCCACTAGAGATTGGCACTAAAGATTTTGGGAAGAGAATTAAGCAAAGATGAAATATGGGGTTGTGATGATGCAATTAAATAAATGTCGATGGTAAATCAATGGAAACAAACGTTGGGCATTAGGGAGATCTAGGGGTTCATGCAGCAATTTATTTAGGTGTTCACGCGAGTAAATCTAGCAAACCGGGATTGCTACTCGAATTCACTTTAACAATATAGTCAACCGGCTCTCGCAAAAAGACTAATATATCAATCAACCTAAGACTCGACTCTCGTAAAGTAATTAGATGGATGATATGCATAACAAGGATTAAATTCGATATGTTAACCTGATCCTTAACACGACTCTCGTAACGATAAAGTTCAAGCTCATCTATACTAGTTCCAATCAATCATTCATGATTCCTAACACAATTCTCATAATGATAAGGTTCAAGTTCTTAGATAAATTTAGATTCAATCACAAGTTGGTTAAACTAGCAATATGCATGAGATGAAAGTATAGATGAAGACTCCACTAAATTCCTAAGCATGAACAATTCCTATTTATCGATCTAGGAATAACTCCCCTAGAAACCCCCTTAAACCCAGCAAACAAACTACGCAATCATAGCAAGTGAAATCATAGCAAGAAAAAAGTATTTCATATAGAAAAAAGTTTAGAAAGATTTTCTCTATGGATACAAAGATTAGCAAAACGTCTCCCTCAACAAACTAGCAATAGAAACTCTATGAAACTCTCGTCTCCTTGGTGTCTCTTTGTGATTCCATGTCATTCTTCGTGGCTGTTGAGTCTTCTCCTAGGTCAATCTCCAAAAGATCTCAAGATAAACTTGAAAATAGAATATTTCCTTTCTTTACGAATGAGGCGATCGATCGATCGTTAGTGGTGATAGGTCGATCTTCTTGTTATATCGCTTATGGGTTAAAAACAGTGGCTTGGTGTC